TAAATAGGAATGGAGCACTGAATTCATTAAAATACAGTACCAGGGTTTAAAAAAAAAACAACCTAGGGCCATTAAGGTTAAACCAATAAAATACTAATGTTATCCACCTATTATGGGCCAGGCTAAATGGCCAATGACCAAACACATTCCATTTTACTTTGAGACGCCATGTCATGTAAGAAATGCTTCTCCCATGGGAAAGCCCCACCTCTGTGCCCATTAATAGTTACCTAGCATAGCATACTTGGCAACACAAAGTAGCAATTCTTATACAATTGTACTCTTTGGTTTCCATTTTTCTTGGGCAATGTACCTTGTCAGAGATTGATTGTCTAGACATGAGTAACCATTTTCTAACTTGTACTGAACAGAGTCATTTTGACCCCCACTTCCCTTCTGCTTGCTTGCTGCTCTGCCAACCTGGAAAGTCCTGTGGGAAATGCCAATGTACCCATTGCATTGTCTCGCTAACTGCCCAATTCAGCTTCTGTACAAGCTTGCTTGCAGCTACATCAACCCAGATGAATTTTTTGCCTTTAAATATCCTAAAATGCTCAGGCTCGGGGCTGTTCCTCCCAGAGGCAGTGATAGTCCTGTGGGGAGCAGACCGACTGGTTAAATAAAGACCCTTCAAAATGGACAAAACTGGGACTTGCTGTGTTTTCTGAGGGACCTGCCTTGATGTTTAAAAAATAATATAACAAAAACATGGAGGTAGTGAGACTGTAAAGACAATTATTTCCCTTTTATAATATATTGCCCAAAATTGAAATGAATAGTTAGCAGACAATCATTCCTATTTATTTTTCCTAATTTTATTATCTTTGGAGACATATGACTATATCTTGGGGCAAATATTTAACAATTTTGGTCTTTTTGTTTTACTTCTGTTTCTTAATTAGCCTAAAATTAATTAAATTTAGTACTTATAATTAAAGTGGAAAAAATAATGATGTAAAGTAAGATCTGGCTATGTGCGCACATTAAGAAATATTGATGTTTATTAAACACAGAGAACAATAATTTTGGATGAGAGGGTGTAGGAGTATTGTTCAGATTTCTGTACTGATTTATTTAAAGAAGGTGTAACCATTTTAAAAAAAAAAGAATAGTTAGTAACTCTTTACTACAAAAATATGAAGCCAAATATGTTCACGTAACTATATGAATGGATTTCAGAAGTTGGGCTCAATGAGGACAGTATTTAAATCCTCCCTCAGAGACATCCCTCAGCAGCTTGGGTTTGCTTAGCAAGCACTTTTTACCGGGTGTCATTCAGTGGAAAGAAATATAATTAAAAACTAATTTAGATTCATGACCCTGAAACCAAGGAACTTTTAGGGGAAAATGTTAGAAAAAGAAATACAAAACAAGAAAGAAAGGGATAAGCAAAGCACAGAGGATATTTAGGCCAATGAAATTCTTCTGTATAAAGGTGACTTTGCCATTATTAAAATAATTATTAAAACAATGGCAAAGTCACAGTCTGTTTGTGAGAACCCAAAGAATATACACAACAAGGGTGAACCCTAAGTAAACCATTGGGATGAGGATGTGTCAATGGAAGTTGACTAACTATAATAACACATACACCCATGAGGCACAGAATGTCAATAGAGGTGAAGATTGTGGGGGGGGGGGGATAGGGGCTTGGGAGTCTCTGTACACCAGCTCAATTTTACTGTGAACTTAAAAACTGCTCTAAACACAAAGCTAAATAATTGCAAACATATGAAGCAAGTGATAAGACAGTGTATCACTAAGAAACTTTTTTTGAAATGTTCACAAATCCATGCTCTTAGTGCTATAAAGACAGTGACATGATGAAGTATTAAGATTTTCTCAGAAAACTCCATAGGGGAGGCCTTAAAATAATAAGTTTTATCCTTTGCAAAGACAAGAACAGAGAACATTGAAAATACTGATTAGGCAAGAAAAAAATCTGTATTTTCAACATCATTTGCAGCCACACCTATCCTGCATCTCATCAGATGAGGTCTCTGCTCCGGTTATTTGGTAGACTAATGTTTAGTGGCCTGTGATAATAAAAGAACCTCTGTAGACATGGTTAGAATTTGTTTTTATGCATATTAGAACTGTGTTTTCTACCATGCTTGACTCAGAAAAAGGAGAGGGACAGACAAATTTTTTGTTTGATTATACCATCATCAGAGAAATACTATTTAGAATTATTTTTTTCAGCTGGACTCACTCATCCCACATTACCAAGTCTGTTTATCAGAGGGCTCCTCAGGGAAATACTCAGTTTTCACACATAACCTTGGCCGAGAGTAAAGGAAGGAAATGCCTACATCAAGAGCAGTGAGTTCTCATGCTGAATGACTTAATTCTCATATGAACATCAAGATTACCATCAGAATTACAATGCTGAGGAAGGCTGAAAGTCATTGTAGTTGTTGCTGTTATTATTATTACTACTACTGCTAGTACTACTTTTTAAAATTGTGTAGCTGGTTATTATTACTACTACTACTAATAATAATAATAGTAATTTTTTAAATTGTGTGGCTGGGAATCCTCTCCAGGGAAAGTGGGCATATGAAAGTGTGTGGGAAGGGCTATGGTGGGTCCCCTATTGAGTTCAGGAAAACACAGGGTTCCACTGTGTGCTTAACCACACAAGCTCACTCATTCAATTCCAAGAGCCAAGTAAACAGGTTGACTATCCTACAATTTGACAAATTAAGTGGTTTCCAGATATCAAGAGGAAGCACCTGGGGGAGGATTAGAAGTATTTTTGTTGTTGTTGTTGTTTTGTTTCCTATTAGGGAAATCTCACAATAACAATGACAATTTAGACTTACACTCTGAAGTTCAATTCTGATTGGACATTGTTTCAGAACTCTCAACTCAAATTAGAACAGACTTTGTGGCATTTGTTTTCATTTCAGAATGTTTTCCACAAGTTAGGACCTATCTAAAGCTATGCCTACCAAAAGGAGGCAAGCAAAGTTAAAACCACACTTCAGATACTATTTGAATTAGACATGGGATTTAAGTGGGAGAATCAGATGAGGAAGAGCCAACTACTGCCATTTGGCTGGCTAAGGGCTGAGGGGTGGGATCTTTCCTGTGCACTGGTTCAACAGCTACACAAAGGCCTCACAAAGAATGACCTTCCCCAAATACATAGAGGCTTTTTTATCCAAGGACACATAAGTAGCAGAAACCTACTAGATGTATCTTTCATCCAGATTGAATGAAATTCAGTAAATCTGAAATATTCATTCATTCAAAACTTACTCAGAAAATATTAAACAGGAGGGATATAATGGGTACAGTAAGGACTGCAAAGATCCATAGGAAGGTCACTGTTTCCAAGGAGCTAACAACTTAATGGCAAAGAGAGAGCAGAATGTTCGCAAAGATGCCTCATAGGGAACTAAACATCCTGATTCTAATAGAACATCAAGAATATCACTACTGTCTGGGAACAGGTATATTTAAGGTCCTTTCTCCCAGTTTTCTTTTTTTCATGTTATACAGTAGGGCATAAATTGGTAGCTTAATAAGCACTTCTGACCACACTGGCACAAAATAGGCCACTCTGTTCCACTGCTTGCCAGGTTAGGCTGTCAGCTGCACTCCTTCCCAGTAATCACCTGCCGTTTGTTTTGGACAGGTTTCTACCCTAATTGACTTATCTCAGATCCCACCGTTTCCTGTCCCTGTTATCACAAAGGACACAGAAATCTATACCTCTGGCACTTGCACTGTCAACACCAGGTAAACTCCTCATGACATTACAGAGCTGGGTGCTTCTCGGTGGTTCCTACATGGGCAAAATACAGGCTGGATGATTTGACATTTGGATTCCATCCAAGATGAATGGCTGGGACTGTGGGGCTAGATATGCCTTGGCTTATATGTTAGCTGTGCCATTTATGAGCAACCTTCTTAACCCTTCTGGGCCTCAGTCTCTATTTATAAAATAGAAATCACTCTACGATACAAAGCTAAAGAAAGATTTAACTGAAATAACATCAAAATGCCTAGACCACAGTATTAAATATGACCAGTGAAAGTGATTTCCCTTCTCCCTTCCTGCACTAAAGTAGATTCATTATTTCTCCTATTTGTACTCTACCACAAAGCAGTTTAAAAATGACCCTAGTTAATGATGATGAACATTTTTTAATGAATTTGTTGATTGATTGTACATCATCTTCAGAGAGGTGTCTCTTCAGGTCCTTGGCCCATTTATTGATTTTTTTTTTTTGATGTTTAGCCTTTTGAGGTCTTTATATACCCTAGAGATTAGTGCTTTATCTCATGTGTGAGGGGTAAAGATTTTCTCCCAAGATGTAGGCTGTCTATTCACCTCACAGATTGTTTACTTTTCTGAGAAGAGATTTCATCTCAGTCCAGTCAGAATGGCAGCAATTATGCATACAAACAGTAATAAGTGTTGGTGAGGATGTGGGAGAAAAAGGTATACTCATACACTGCCGGTGGGACCGCAAATTGGTGCAGCCAATATGGGAAGCAGTATGGAGATTTATTGGAAAATTGGGAATGGACCCACCATTTGACCCAGCTATCCCTCTCCTCGGTCTATACCCAAAGGCCTTAAAAACAGCATACTACAGGGACACAGCCACATCAATGTTTATAGCAGCAAAATTCACAATAGCTAAACTGTGAAACCAACCTAGATGCCCTTCAATAGACGAATGGATAAAAAAAAATTGTGCATATATACACAATAGAATATTACTCAGCAATAAAAGAGAATAGAATCATGGCATTTGCAGGTAAACAGATGAAGTTAGAGAAGATAATGCTAAGTTAAGTTAGCCAATCCCAAAAAAACAAATGCCAAATATTTTCTTTGCTATAAGTAGGCTGATTCATAGTGGGATAGGGAGCAGGAGCATGGGAGGAATAGATGAACTCTAGATAGGGCAGAGGAGTTGGAGGGGAAGGGTGGGGGCAGGGGTTATTAATGATGGTGGAATGTGATGATCACTGTTATCCAAAGTACAGGTATGAAGATATAAATTGGTGTGAATATACTGTGTATACAACCAGAGATATGAAAAACTGCTCTATATGTGTACGAAGAATTTTAATGATTCCACTGTCATACATAAATAAAAAAATAGTAATAATTAATTAATTTTAAAAATGACCCTGGTAGCCCCCTTATTACTCTTTTAATTTGCTTAAAAGTCAGCCAAAATACTCTGCCAGCACAAATCTGAACTGACAAAATGCTTAGTGGTTGTAGGATTGTCTAGGAGCAGGTTTGACTCTAATGTAAACAGAATAAGAAAAAAATTCTGATCCTCTAACTGCTTGAATATGGATTTCAAGATGTCTCCAAGTAGAATGGAAGCTATCCTGACTAAAACCTGGAGCCCCGGAGGATCCTGATGACACAGAGCGGCAAACTGTCCTTTTGACTTCAGCCCTGAAGTTAGCTAAGTAAGTAAATTGGGGGGGGGGGGGAGACTGTGCCTTGAATTTTCTCACTGCGTCGCATGGCATTGACTTTACTGAAATTGACAGCAGGCATTTCTAAATAAAGGTCATTGACCTTTTAATCACTTTGTGTGTGGCAACATGATTTTGTTTGGGGCATTTATGTACTTTTCAGTGCATTCTCTGTCATTCTCCCGCTATCATTTTCCATTTCAGGTGCTATTTACAACACCCAGAAGACAAGAAAAAAATCAAGTCCGAGTACATGTGCATGTGGTTATACATAAGTACATATCTGGGGTTAGACAGTAACTGTGTAATTATTTAGCCTTAGAAATAATGTAAAGTAGGTAATTATGCTATATTTAAAGAACTTAAATAAAAATAAATTCTGCTTTCCTGGATATATAAATTGTATTAAAAGGCTTTTTATTCAAAATATGTTCCCAGAATTTAAGAAGATGCCTGGCATACAGAACAACAGAAAAGAAAAAAAAAACAAAACTTTACCAAAAATAAATAAATCTGTTAAAAATCTCGCTTGAATGATACAAAAAGATAAACTCTGCAAATAAGAAAGTTCCTAATTTGTGAAAAAGGTAAGAGGCAGAACCAGTAATTAAGTTCAGGTCAGTACATTCATAGTTTCTACTAACCATTTTACAAAAATATCATAATGATCCAGGTGACTATCATTACTCCTATTCACAAATGAAATAACCAAAAGACTTGAATGAAGCCATCAGGTCCAGGTCATTGAACAAGAAGCGGTGATTAAGAATTATAATGTACAGACCAGGATGCATTTATTTTTGTCTTTTTAATTTTAATACTTCTGGAAGCTGCAGTTGGATCCCTGGTGAAGAGTTATTAGAAAGGAACTATTTAGGAGAAAAACATGGTGCCCCCTAGCCAGACCCAGTGACTGTGCCATGTTTCTCAGCCCTGCTCACCATTCAGACACACGCTACTAAATATTTCAAGCAGCACAGACAGAAAGCAAAGCAGAACAGCTTTCCTGCAGCAGACCCCAAAGACAATGTATTATCCAATTCAAGAAGCCTTTGTAAGAGTGGCATTTTCACCCATAAAGCAAATAATACAAGGAAACCCAGTTACATTGACAAAATATTGCTCATTAGATAAAGTCACAACTATAAAGATAATTATTTGAATACATATTTTAAGTTGGTTATTTTTACCTCTGCCTAATCTAACAACGCCATTCACAAATTTAGTTATAAGCTGAGGACCATTCCATTATAACTACAATATTTCTTTCTCCTACTTTTTCTTTCTTTTTTTTTTTTTTTTTGGTTTACATAGATGGAAGGATATTTTAATTTCCTTGTTTGACCACTTAAAAAAGTTTTTGGAATGCTCCATAACTTATTTGAAAAGACATACATCTCTAAAATATAACATGTTAATTTATCGATCACTCACCTAAACCAGACTTTTTTAATCGTTTTAAGTGTTGATTCGTTTGTTTTCCAGTGGGAGATTTTTGCCCATGTTTCATTTCTTTATCTGAACTGTCTGCTTCACCATTTTTAGATTCAGATCCTAAAAAAAGGAAATAGTTATTATGCCATTATCTTCCTCTTGCTGTCCTTGAAAAGAAGAATCTAAAATTGTTTTAGGAACCATAGATACAATCTTTCTTTCTAAGAGTTAATATAGTACCTTTGGCCACAATCTGATTCCCTTACTGGATAAAGAGAGAAAAGCCCAATAAATCAATCAAACAGGACCAAAAGCAAGAACAGATGGCTTAATAGCAGAATCAAAAACTCAGTTACTGATCTGATAGCTTTTAAAATAGTCTAATCTTTTTTAAAAATCCATGAACAATCTCAAACAGTACGATGCCAGTGAGAGATGAAACAAAACAGAGACAGAATGATGAGGGAAGAGGGGATTCCTGGAGAAAAAGAGAGATCAGACCTTTATGAATAACTTTATGTTGAAGCAGGGACAGAAAATGCAAACATTAATAGAATAATAAATACAATGGTATACAGCTGAGAAAATGACAAGAGGTAAATTGGAAGGAAAGGTCAGGGCTGCACTGAGGTAAGAAGAATGTTACTAGAACACAAAACTAATAAGGATTCCAGATTTTGCAGGAGAGGATTGAAAAACAAAATCACACTCATGGCAGAACTGCTTTTGCTAGTGTTTCAAATCAGCATGTGCTTCACCATTAAAGTTCAGCAGTCAAAAGCCAAAGCAGCAACAAAATCCACCTAGATTCACCAGTTATTTCCTCACACCTACTGACAATAGCAAATGAAGTCATTTCATGATGACTTCATTTCTTATTTTTTTTTTAAACTGGGTAGGACTCTATATTTTTGAATCACTGCAGAGTCAAAGATATGAAAAAAAAAAAAAAACAACCAAACCTCAAGTGGAAGTATTATTCAGTTAAAAAAAAAAATCATGACATCTCTCTCAGTGAGAAAGTCTCCTCTGAGAAGAAACTGGCCAAGCATACAATATTTTAGCTCTTTACCTGAAGGCGGATCCGACTGCTCATCAGACACCTTTAATGGTGTCAAAACAACACGAGGAACAGTCTTGTTTACCATCATTGAGACTCCATTTCTTCTTTTCTGCTGCTGCCTCAAAGCCTATAAAACATGATAATAAAATATAACATAAAAATGTAGCCAAAATGATTCCTCATAATTGAATTAAATGATCCACTTGCCCATCATTAGCTCAAACCTCTTATGAGACTTACATTCCACAGAGCCCCTAATTTGTCAGGATTCTTAATAGACACCTTCATATAATTTTCCCTCAAAAGCATAAAATTGGGCTGTGGCAAAGGGTATAAACCTGAGACCATTTCAGTATAATTCTGACAATAAAGCAGTACTTAACGGTTTGTTCTACCTTAGCAGTGTGGCTTGAGAGCCCATGGAATTTGAAACTGTGACTCCCACGTAAAATAAATGTAAAATAAATATTTCAAAATCAGGATAAAAATATATGTGTCTGCACTCCTCTTGCAGGTGCGTCGTCTCCAGTGCACGGCTCAATCAGTTAACACCGAGTGTCATCAGTATGTACAGCATGTAAGAACTACAGTATTGATGCATTCACTCAGCCGTGGGGAGCGCTGCACAAAATCACTGAACATGGCAGGAATCATTTATTTCTGTGAAGGGAATCAGTCCTAATCTTGGAAACCTTGCAGCATTTGGCTTCTGTCTGCTTGACTTTGGGCATTAACCTTCAGAACACGAACAGGACGGGGTTCTGGCAAATCCAGGGGAAAAAAAAAATATGAGAATAAATCTGTCCAAATGGGAGTGCTTTGTGTTTCCTAAATGATCGACCATGGTGATGATAATGTAATTAAAGACATTTAAAAGTTTTGAAATACAGCTTTATCTAACTGATCGCTTTATGCAGAAAATTACCTGTAATAAAAAAAAGGGGGGGAGGGTGTCTTAAGCACATGAAGCGGAAGAAACATTAAATTCACAGTTAACAGGAATGCTAAGACTCCTCGAAAGGTTAAAAGGCTGGCCACAGACGGTATGAAGCCTTTTTATTCCTGATTTCTGTGCAATTTCTACCAATTTTACAGCATCTCAGTTACTTGATTAATGATCTCTGACTAACAGTTGTCAGAATTTCCTGAAATACTGCATCGACTGTATATTCCCTTGCTGTCAAAAAACGATGTCAGGTTATTTGCTCAGGGTATTAGCTAAATGTTCAACTTGTTGACCATAAGATTTAGCAATCAAGTAATTACAGAACTGAAAACTTAAATGCCACATAAATGAGAGAAGACATATTCAGACAAGAGTTAAAGCCAGATGAGAAAGAAAGGCTGGGGCAATCTATCATAAATGACGCAGATACTGATGATTACACAAGAAATTTTCCCTTTGATTCTTATGCTTACAGAGCTTTTAAAAAGTATCAGGTGCTGTGGGGGAACAAGAGGTATAAAGATTAATAAGATGCTATCCTTCTCACCTTTAGCCTGCTGTCAATAATATGGCAAATGAGAGCATATGTGCTATAAAATATTTAAGACATTTACTCTTTCTTCCAAGGAGTATACATAATTGCACATAAATTGTGCACATACTTGCATAAATCTCTCTAGTCCTGTATAAGAACTCAAAGCACTTTATATACATTAACCTAACAATCCAATAATGTAACCAAATGAGGTAACACAGTGATTTAAATTATAATTAATTCCACCTTTGTTCACAATGTAAGACTTCACAAAAGTACAAACAGGAGTAAATTTTTAGAAGTTATGCATTACAGATTATTCAACTATTTCTCTTGGCAAAATATTATGCCCTAAAAAATATTCAGTGTGCATGTGTGTACGTGTGTATATATACATGTGAAGTCAAAGAATTTATTTTAGATAAATTTTGAAAAAATGAGAGAAACAAACTAAAGGTCTAGAATCTACAATCAAATATCAAAGATGGGCTGGGCATAGTGGTGCAGGCCTATAATCCCAGCAGCTAGGGAGGCTGAGACAGGAGGATCTCAAGTTCAAAGCCAGCCTCAGCAAAAAGTGAGGTGCTAAGTAACTCAGTGAGACCCTATCTCTAAAAAAAAATACAAAATAGGGCTGGGGACGTGGCTCAGCACTCCAGTGTCCCTGATTTCAATTCCCAGTAACCTCCCCCAAGAAAAAGAATCAAAGATGATATGCCTTTTTGAAGGATTTGTGGCTTGAATCAAACTGTGAAATATGATGTATTAAGAACTGTGTATGGTTTTGAACGACCAACATAAAAAAAATAATTAAAAAAAAATAATAATAATAAATGAAATAATGAAAATTTGGACTCAATTTCTAGAGCTGAAAGGACTCTAATATAAAAAACTTAGCAGAAATAAATCATGATAGAAAAAATTTAAAAAGAATAAAAAAAGAAAAAATTTTAAATTTTAAGGTCTGACAGGATAAAAGAAATTGCTAACCATTGCCCATTTGCATGATTTGTTTTCTGAATATGTACTTCATACTTAGAAAATTCAAGCAATATTTCTCAGCACAATTTTTTTTTTAATTCTGTCATGCAACACCAATTGCTTATATGGACAAAAACCAAATGACCATGATGTAACAAAAATTAGTATTCTAAATATATTAAAAGTATTCATGCATATTTTTGTTTTATCTCTGACAAATAAACATTAAATTTATTATTCCTAAATGATATTTGTAGGGGCTTAAATAAGCGGAAGCTCGGAAGTGTCTCTTATTCTGACACTAGTGACAACAGTGAAGCACAGGCAGGTCAGCAAACTCAGGCAGGTCAGAGGTCAGGCATCAGAATAGGAAAGGGGCATCTTCATTTTGCATTCTAGACTTACAGTCATGTTAGAGTGAATCTGTGGTCGTTTACAGGAGTCTAGCTCACATTCCTGGAAGCAAGATTCACTTGACATGCCAAGATTTCACTTGGGCATGGTGGTGCAGGCCTATAATCCCAGCAGCTAGGGAGGCTGAGACAGGAGGATCTCAAGTTCAAAGCCGGCCTCAGCAAAAAGTGAGGCGCTAAGTAACTCAGTGAGACCCTATCTCTAAATAAAATACAAGTAGGGCTGTGGATGTGGCTCAGAAGTTCCTTCCAAGAATATCAGAATATTGACTGAGGGAGAAAACCAAGGACACCTCCATTGAGATGCCTGGGACCTCCTGGGTGAGCCTTCTCAAGAACACTCGAACACTTCTGTCTACGAGGCTCCTGGTCTCTTGTAGTGGAGTGTGCATCCTCCAAGTAAAGAGCACTAGCTGTGTAGAGGCTTCTTGTTTTATATATATATATAATGTAACTATGCTTTCAACTTCATGTACATCAACTACTCAAACATGCTGCGTATCTCTTTCAAATTCATCTAAAAAATCATGGAATCCCTTTGGTTCCATGGTGACCTGCAGGTGAGAACGGAAGAGACTGCAGTGGGCAAGAACACCCCACCACCCCCATCAGAATGAGCTGTTGCTGTCTAGATTTTTAGATGAGCTTTCCTGATTTGAAATCATGTTCAAAACATGTCCAATTCAGTCTAAGGGCAGCCACTTTTAATTTCTACTAAATACCATTCCCCACCATCAAAATAAACAAGTTTGCACAATGTAAGTATTAAACTACCAAGTATGGGTACTGGCTAATATAGGTCTTCTAAGGTGCTGATCTGCAGAGAAACTGGGGACTCAGCAGAACTCTTTTTTTCATTTGTTGGTGGACCTTTATTTTATTTATTGATATGTGGTGCTGAGAATTGAACTCAGTGCCTCACACATGCTAGGCAAGCATGCTACCATTGAGCTACATCATCAACCCTGCAGAGCTCTCTTAATGGCTGTGTTGTACAATGGTTACAAGGGGCAAAGAAAGGCTTAACTAACTAGCTTTATAATACTGGGTAACTGAGTTGGACAAATGTCCCTAAAAACCCTTGACAAAAGTGTGGGCAAGATGCTTCAAACAAGAAAGCTACAGAATAGTATTTTAGCACAATTTATAGCACAAAGTAAATACTCAATATATGCTGTTTTGACATTTCTGTAATTTATCCATGCTACAAAAATAAAATGATTTTTTGAGGATTTATTCTGCTGAACTACCATGTAAGCACTGCTGATTCATGGTACTGAACA